GCCGGCAATACCGGCAGGTGGTTGCCGACCCCTGGTCAGCACTCCCCACCCTCCCCTCCCCCCCCCCAACAGTACTGTCAGCATCTGCGGGAGCTCCGTGCTTACCACTTCCATCGTTCCTGCTGCTGCCGCTGTGCTCCCGCCGCTGCTGTGCCCCCCCAGCCGCCGAGGGCATGCACTGTTCATGTCCAATACTTCACTAGCAGTCATATCTACCTCTGAGTTAGCATTACCACACCTGAGTTAAGGATTTTAGCAAAGAACATCCTGCAGGGCTATGCAGTAGAAGAGACATTACCAGAAATAGATAACAGACAGCAACATTGCAGAAGAAAGAATCGTTTGAATATCTGACCATTAACATGAGAAAAGGGTCATTAATACCCATGGTGGAGTGAACGATATCCATGAGCCATGAAGTCAATTGACTCCCTCAGTGCTACCTCAACAGAAATGCCACTGGCCCTCCCAGACAGTTGGTTTTAAAGTTTTGGTGGAGCAGATCTAAGGAGGTAGGGGAATATCTGCAAGAGCTCCTCTTCTCCTGCAGTTCTGTGAGAGACAGCTGTGATTTGGTTGTTTGCCTAGATCAGTGATTCTCAACTAGGGTGCTGGGCTAAGCATGGTGTGAGGAAGTAAACCGATAAAAGCAGGCTCAAGCTTCAAGTATGAGGAGGTAAGCAGATAGGGGCAGGCTCAGGCTGTCCTTGCCTAGCTGCTTCCCCACCCCCACCACTGCCCCTGCTGCAGAGAAGTGAGGCCTGTAAGAAATACATTCGTTTTTGAAATGGGGTGCCTCTCAGTTCACAAAAGTTATGGAGGGGTGCCTTAAGTTTGATGAGGGGTGCTTTGAGTCTAAAAACATTACTGCCCCACATTGGGACTTTACACCTGTGGAAATAGTTAGCTAACTGATGAGGTGCCAGACACTGCTGTGCAAGAATATGTACATATGCACACACACCTCTTTTTCATAGGTGGTCTCTCTCTGTCTCCTTGCAATTTGCTATCTCAGGGCTGTCCCTGCACAGTCAGTGGGCCTGGGGACCATATGCTTCCCGCTGCACTATGTACTCAGATGCCTCTCACCCTCACCCCACTGCACCCTGCGCCTCAACGCAGCACCAGGGGAAGAACTTCCCTAAAAAATCATTTCTCCGTCATTCCAAAACTGAAAAAGACAGGTTGTCAGCTGATATCCCTCAGTCTGGCTCGCTTGACTTCAGTAACCCTGCACTATTACAGTTCAGGCAGAGATCTGATCCAATACAGCCTCTTTGTCTCACAAGCTTACATGTTTGAAACAACATCTAAAAATCTCAATTTTCTGGTCATTTTGTATTCTGCTGTGCATATTTCACATGCATCTGCTCTTTTTGTGAGAATGAGGCTGATTCAGCACATTTCATTTCCTGTGCTTCCTTTTTTTATGTATATAAAAAATATTTTTCCTGTTAAAAACGTGTCTGCTCTAAGGACCTGATGAGGAATGTTTTCTGGTAAAGACTGCATGACAGTTCAAAAAGCCCCCCAGGGAAATGCAAGATGTTCAAAAAGGGGGTAAACTCATCATTGCAGAATATCTTTAAATAGAGATTAGATATCTTTCTGAAAGCCATGCTCTAGTCCACCGGTGCTGAAACTTTTTTTACAAATGGGCCAACCTTGACATCAGAAATAGGCCGGGAGCCAGGAGAGAGGTGAGTGGGGAGTGGCCACACCCCTTTCTTTTTTTGGCACATGCTCAGTGAGCTCTCTGGTATGTCAGCATGGCTCCTGTTGGAGTCTGTGCAGTGAGAACTCACCGGCATGTCAGCAAGGGCTGTGCCCAGAGCAACCACTGTTGTGTGGCTCTGGAGCTGAGGGACTGAACACTTCCACCACTCATCCTCTCTTTCTCTCTGCCACAGAAGAGAGAAAGAGAGGATGCCTCTCTTGATGTTTGCCTCTCCCTCTCATTTAGCAGTGAGAGGGAGAGGCAAACAGCAGCAGCATTGAACCCCTGGGCTCCAGAGATGGGCGAAGGTAATGGCTTCAGTTAGAGCCTGCACTGATATGCTGATGAGCTCACACCAGTTACCGGCAGATGAGGTTCTTTGGGTAAATTCATAGATTCATAGATTGTAAGAGGCTGGAAGGGACCTTGCAAGATCATCAGGTCCAGCCCCCCTACACTGGGCAGGAAGACAACTGGGGTCAGGTTACCCCAGCAAGGTGACTGTCCAGTCTCCTCTTGAAGATTTCCAGGGTAGGTGATTGTACCACTGCTGGAAGGAGTTTATTTCACAGTCTGGACACCCTGACTGTGAAGAAGTTTTTCCTAAGGTTGAACCTGAAATAGTTTTCCAGGAGTTTGTAGCCATTACTCCTGGTTTTCCCCAAGGGTGCCCTGGTGAACAGTTGTTTGCCGAGCCCTTGATGTAGTCCCTTGATATAGCAGTAAGCTGCTACCAATTCCCCTCTCAGCCTTCTCTTTTTTAGACTAAAGAGGCCCAAGTCCCTCAGCCTTTCCTCGTATGGCTTGTCTTGCAAGTCTCTGATCATATGGGTGGCTCTTCTCTGGATTCTCTCAAGCATTTCCATGTCCTTGTTGAAGTGCGGCGCCCAGACATGGATGCAGTACTCCAGCTGCGGTCTCACCATTGACAGCTCATGTCTCAAAAGCCTTGTCAACCCTACAGCTCCTAATGGTCCAGTGCTTTGCCCCTGCTGGCTGCTAGCATGGCTTGCCCTGCAACCAAATGTGATGTATTTTATTAGATTAACTTTTTTCGTATGAAAAAAATGGTGTCCATATCTTTATCTTTGTGCACTTCAGCATTTTTGTCGATTTGGGAGCTCTTGCCCTTCAGAGACATTATCAGAGAACACTACATGGAAGTGGCTCATTTAGACCATGGCTCATTAGACCAACTAAATAGTTGGAAACATTGTTCTTCGCAAGCTTTCGGGTACAAACATCCTTCTTCAGGCAGAGGGAGAGTTTGCAGTTGTTTTGTCTCCCTCTGCCTGAAGAAGGGTGTTCATACCCGAAAGCTTGCAAAGAACAATTTTTCCAACTATTTAGTTAGTCTAATAAAAGATACCACATTTACCCAAAGAGCCTTGTCTGCCTATGTCCTAAGACCAACACGGCTACAACCAATACCCCCCACACCAGTTACAGGTCATTCACACAGGCTTCGTGGGCCACAGTTATGTGCCTGCTTAGCTCTGCTACTGAGCGGAGCCCAACTGGAATGCATAGAACCCCTCATGGAGTAGCGGAGAACCTGTGCACAGATATTTGCAGGATTGGGGGATATATTTGATTTTTTGCTCCCATTTTGTTACATTTTTCCCTCATCCACCCAGTGACTTTGGCAAGTGAGTTAAATTTCTGATAAGTTTCAGCACTGCAAAAAAGAAAAATAACAATAAGAAAGGGGCAAGAAAAGAGAAAAGTTGACTTGATTGATTTCAGTGGCTTTGGTAGGAAAATAAGAACAGACAAAGACAGTAAAATAAAACAAATGTTTTCATGAAGGATTTGGTGACAAGTTTCTGAAATACTGACATGATATATATTTCCAGATCCAAAATGGCTTTCAAATTGTTGGCATATTTTGCTATTTTATTTTCATTGCCAACCAGCTAGAATAGTGTTAAATAAAGCTTCTGGAGTTACTTTTTAGAATGTTGAGGCTAGTTATTTATGTAATATATCAAGTATTCCTTTAGCATCCATGGAACCAGCCCTTTTTATTTTAGTGTTGTTTCTACGATGGTGGGCATTGTGTAGCTTTAAGACTTGGGTTTACCTCCTTCATTAATTCATGAGTGGAAACAACAGTGTTAGATAAGGAACTGGCTGGTATCTGGCGCCTTGGGTTCAGTTGTCTCTCTTTGCTACTGGCCTATTGAACAAGTCCTTTTTCTCTTTGTGGCTCAGTTTTCTCATCTGTAAATTGAAGCTTATCTACTGACTCAGTGTGAGGCATAAAGCCAGTGCCACATAAGAGTAGGGTTGCTTGAGTGACCCAAAGGGCTGCATGTGGACCAGCCAGAGTGAAAGTAGATAAGCCTGATGGTGGCTGCTCATGGAGCAGGGTGGGTTGCGAGTGGTCCAGAGAGGGGCAGTATGAAAGAGACCCTGTGAGAGGGGCAGAGTGCGTGAGTAGGTTGCTAGAGGCCCAGCAAGGGGCAGAGTTTAGCCCAGCCTTGGGCCAGAGCTGTTATGAATTTGCGATACCATCTGTGAGGCATGGGGCATAGTATAGGGAAGGTCAGAGCCGTGTACAATGCCCTAGGCAGTGGGGCATTCAATGGGTAGCCTCCTGCTTTCAACACCCAGTTTGTTACACCAAGTTGTGGCAAGTGAGACAGGGCAGACTGCCATAGACAGGTAGGCAGGCCAGCATTGAGACCTGGCCCAAGATGGCCCCCCGTCACACATGCAAAATTAAGAGATGTTATCTGCCTTCTGTTACCTGCCCAGTGTGAGGCATAAGGCCAGTTACCTGCCTTCATTCTGACTTCTTGTTATTGATTTAGTTATAATTAAATAATTACATATTTTTATCACTTTTGCTGACTAGGAACTCTGCCATTTCTACAGCCTATTACCTAAATCAGTTAAGAATATATCTAGTTCAACTTTGGTATTTACAAACACATAAAGGAGCTGGAACTGGTGAATTCTGCTATTTATTACAAAGTGGTCTAGAAGTAACTTCCATGGCAGGGAGAGCTGGACGCACAGAAACAATAGGTTCTACCATGCATTGTGCCACTTTAATCTCAGTAAAACACAACTCAAGCATTGCACCTTAGGGCCTATAGAGTGGACTCCATCATTAATTGCCCCATTTTAAGGTTAAGGGGAGTTCTGCTTCTGGTAGGATTGATGTGTCCCTTACACAGCCAACAAGGTGGCATCCCAGCCTCTGTAGCTAGAATGACTGTGGCATCTCCAGTGCTACCAGCCCTGCTTGACCACACTTCTGTGTTCCCTCTCCAAGGCTCTTTGCTGTGAAGTGCGGAGGGTGCTTTGAAGCCATCGCCCCCAGCGAATTCGTCATGCGAGCCCAGAAGAGTGTGTATCACCTGAGCTGCTTCTGCTGCTGCGTCTGTGAACGGCGGCTGCAGAAGGGTGATGAGTTTGTCCTGAAGGAAGGTCAGCTGCTCTGTAAGAGCGACTACGAGAAGGAGCGGGAGCTGCTCAGCCTGGTGAGCCCGGCTTTGTCGGATTCCGGTAAGGGGGAGCACGCAGCAGAGATACATGACACTTTCTCATGTACTGATGGGCCCCTGATCTGAACTGTGAACCATTTCAAAGTGTGGGGGTAGGTGTGGCACCCCTGGTAACACAACGTGTCTCCATCTCCCAATCTGGTTTTATCCTCTGTGAGGGAGAATAAGAGAAGCACAGCTTCTGTTGCCGTAATTCACAATCTTTTTGCATGAACTATCCCTCTCAAGTGCCATGACCTCATTTGGGGTCACAGCTCCCACTTGGGGAGCCACTGCTCTATGACTTGAAATAAAAAATTCACTTTGTGAGTGAAGCAATAGTAGCAGACTCATATAGATCTCTATATGATCTGGCCACTAGAGGAAAACAAAGAGGCTGGGTTAGCATGGACTCTGTCTGGACCATTATAGAATGATAAGCCTTGGCATTCAGAACTGGTTCCAGTCTGGGCCTGTGGGCATCAACAGTGTTTGGGTACAGGATTTTAGATAAGGTCTATCTCTAGAACCTGGTTTGGAGCTGCTGCCATGTGTTATACCCACTTGATTGCTGCTGACCAAGTGCAGGGGATTCAGCCATTGGAGCTTACCAAATGCTAAGGCCTTTTATTCCCTCAGCACTGGGTTCATTTCTAGGTGCTAGGACAGCAGGAAGGGGTGGTCTGAGACCATCAGATTGCACTGAGGTCCTTTGGCAGAGTTGGTCCCAATGTATCCTGCTGCCCAACCCTGGGTAGGACCAAATGCTGTGTATTTGCATCTCTGCCTACCGACTCTCTCACACAAGGATGCAGGGCATGGAAAGCAACGTGTATTGGCAGCAATGAACAGACAGTGGTTCCCTGGCATGAAGCCCAGAGGACGATCCAAGCTGAAGGAGCTGCCAGGCAGATTGCCTGAGTCTTGGCGTTCACTGAAAGAGACCTTCTACCAGTGCAGGTGAGGTGGGATTAGGAGAAAGGGAAGGAGAGAGACAGGAGAGTACTCCGAGGAAACCAGATACACCCTACTACCACCATTTAGCTTCTGTCCCCTGCTAGAGACCAGATTGCAAAGATCTGTAATGTCCAAGGACAGTGTCTGTAGCTCAGACAAAAGCTAGTAATTTTTCAGGTCTAGAGGTCACAGGTAAATCTCCCACAGACATTCCCATCCGTGATGTTCTTGTATCCTCACATACAGCTGAGACGCAGCAAGTTCTGAACTCCAGCAAGAACTCAGAATCTGCAACCCATTCAATGAACCTGGTGTGTGCTAAACTGAGTTGTGTGGTATTATTTCCATTCTCTGATTGGGTGCTTCAGTCTATAAACAGTTTCTGTTACCCCTCCAACTAAATATTGTTCAGGGTTCAGTTGCCCCATCTTGGCTCTGGCTTCAGGGGCCCTAAATCTTTGCATAGTCATAGTTTCATACTTTCATAGTAGGGTCGGAAGGGACCTAAGCAGATCATCAAGTCCAACCCCCTGCCATGGGCAGGAAAGGATGCTGGGGTCAAACGACCCCAGCTAGGTGATTTTCTAGACTCCTCTTAAAGACCCCCAGGGTAGGAGCCAGCACCACTTCCCTTGGAAGTTGGTTCCAGCTCCTACCCACCCTGACTATGAAGTAGTGCCTCCTGATATCTAGTCTGAATCTACCCTCAGTCAACTTATGGCCGTTATTCCTTGTTACTCCTGGTAGTGGTCAGGGGAACAGGGACTCTCCCATTGCCTGCTGGTCTCCCTTGGCCAGTTTACAGATGGCTACCAGATCCCCTTTCAACCTTCTCTTGTGGAGGCTGAACAGGTTAAGGTCCCATAGCCTCTCCTCATAGGGCCTGCCCTGCCCCGTGATCATGCGAGTGGCCCTCCTCTGGACCCTCTCCATGTTGTTCACATCCCTCCTGAGGTGCGGTGCCCAGAACTGGACACAGTACTCCAACTGTGGCCTGACCAATGTCACATAGAGGGGGAGGATCACCTCCTTGGACCTGCTCGTGATGCATCTGTGGATGCATGACAAGGTACAGTTAGCCTTCCTGACCGCGCCCCCACATTGGCGGCCCATGTTCATCTTGGAATCAATAGTGACTCCAAGATCCTTTTTTGCTTGTGTGCTGATGAGAAGGGAGTTCCCCAGCCTGTAAGTCTGCTGCTGGTTCTTACTGCCCAAGTGCAGTACCTTGCACTTGTCACTATTGAAACCCATCCTATTCTCATCCGCCCACCTCTGTAACCTGTCCAGATCTAGTTGTAGCCTGTCCCTCTCTTCTAGCCTGCCCACTTCTCCCCACATCTTAGTGTCATCTGTGAATTTGAACAAGGTGCTTTTCACCCCCTTGTCCAAGTTGCTGATGAAGATGTTGAACAGTGTGGGCCTGAGGACCAAGCCCTGGGGGACCCCACTGCCCACATCCCTCCAGGTTGAAAATGACCCGTCCACCACCACTCTCTGGGTGCGGCCCTCCAGCCAATTTGCAACCCATCAGACTGTATAGGCATTGACACCACAGTCACCTAATTTTTTAATGAGAATGGGGTGAGAGACAGTGTCAAAGGCCTTCCTAAAGTCCAGAAAGACTACATCTACCGCGACACCTGTGTCTAAGGATTTTGTGACCTGGTCGTAGAAGGCCACCAGGTTGGTCCGACAGGACCTGCCTCTAATGAACCCGTGTTGGTTGCCCCTAAGCATAATGTTCCCTGCTGGTCCCTTGCAGATGTGCTCCTCGATAATTTTCTCAAAGAGCTTCCCCAGGACCAAGTCTCACTGAAGTTAGCAGAGTGAGGCACTAAACATGAGAACAGTGAATGGAGCTGGTATCTGGACCCAAGCCCATTTCAGGTTTTGATTAAACTAATGTCATGCATGGGCCTGAAATCCATTGTTCACACATGTTCACAAGAAGTGTAGTTACAGGGAAAAGTGTGTGAGCAGCAAGTACTGAAGCAGGTTAAGGAGACCCAGTTAAAACCTAGTAGCAAATTTGGAAGTAGATTGTTACTACAGAATCTGTCCCAGCTGCATAGATAGCCATGTTATACATTGATGTAAATGTGTCATGTATCCAGGTTCTGTGTGTGTGCATCCCAAAGATCTTACAGTCTAAAAGCAAGTTTTATTATTAGGTATCATGCTCTAGTGGGCAGCTCTCTGGCCTATCCATGACTGGCTTTAGGCAAGTCATTTCCCGTCTCTGTGTTTTAATGTCCCCATATGCAAAATGGGGATCGTGAAGCTGGCTGCCTTTGTGAAGTACTTTGAGGTTTGTGGATTCAAAGAGTTGGTGGGTTCTTTGTTATCAATAGGCCTGTGCGAAGTGGCTAGTATTCGCTTTGGATTCGGATTCAGCCGATTTGGGGGACAGTGATTCAATTCGGTGATTCGAATCACTGTCCCGAATTGATTCAGCCGAGTCTGATTTGAAGATTTGGCTGCT